CCCCCCGCGCGGGCGCCGCGGCTTCAATGGCGCCATCGCCCAGGACCGGCAGCCGGCAAGATGCGACCGCGCTCCCCAGCATGTCCTCAACTTTTTGGGCGTTCATGATCCTGGCCAGCCTGCTCATCGCCTACTGCAGTGAGTACCGCGCGGCCCGGCCCCGGCCCGGCCCTCGGCCCGGACCCCCGCCCCTGCCCCGCCGCGCGCCCCGCGGGCCTCCCGGAGCCGGCTGGAGCGGAGTTGCGAGCGCGGGGCGCGCGGTCCCCCGGGTCCCGGCGGGGTCCCCTCCGCGGCGCGGGGGAGCGAGGGGCCTCCGGGCTCCTGGGGTCGGACGCCCCTGCCCGAGCCGCCCTCCGTCCCCGACTCCCCGGCAGGGCCCCGGCTCCAGGCCCCGGTGGCGCGGCCCGTCCCTGCCCGGCGTGCGTTCGCGGCTGCTCCCGGCCCAGGCCCGCGGGTTCCCGGCGGGGCCGCGCGCTCGGGAGGGAGGCGGCGGCAGGTGCGGCCGGGGTGTCGGGGGAGCGTCCCCCGGTGCCTCCCGCCCGCAGCCTCCGGCGCGGGACGGGGGGTCGCGGCGGCGGAGCCGGGAGAGGGGCGCCTCAGGCTCGGAGGGGCGGCCGCAGCTTCCGCCTTCCCGGGCAGCGGCTCGTCAGGCGCTTTCCGGAAGAGCCGACAAGTGAGGGTGGGATGCCCGGAGGGGTCGCCGCGGCCGCCGGCCGGTCTGGGGTCGTGTCTGGGGCTCGAGCCGGGGACCCACGGGGCGGGCGCGGGCCGGTGGGCGCCCGGGGGTCCGCGGGGGGCTGGCCGGGGGGAGGCGGCCGCGGGCTCCCGTGGCCTGGGGGGTGGGGGCGGCCTGTGTCCCCGCCGAGGCTCCGCGCCGGGGGAAGGACGGGCGCATGGAGTCCCGGGTGCAGACTCCGGGCTCGGCCCTGGGGAGGGAGCTCAGCATCCCGGGGCACGTTCGCAGCTGCTGGGGCGAGTGGGGGCTGCTCGGCGTCGGCTCCGGGAGCCCCAGGCGTCTCGTCTTCAGCGGGAGAAAAGGACGGGTGCTGGGGAACACCTGCCATGGAGAATTGCCACGGGCGCGGGAGGTGATGGAAAAATATGGATTCTTTACAAAAAAAAAAAAAAAAAAAAAAAAAACATGAAAAGGCCAGCACCAAAGCTCCCTCCAGACACCAGCTCCCCCAGAGCCGCGGGCCTCCAAGCTCCCAGTCCCATCCCGTCCTTCCACTGTCGCCTAAATGACACGGCGGGCCCGGGAGACCGCGGGGTCGGAGTCCTGGGACAGCCCAGCCCGCCGGGCTCGCGAGGGAAACCCGGAGCCCAGATCGGGAATTGTCCGACTTGTTTCCGCAGGGGGTCCTGCACCTCCCTGTGGCATTATTGTGGCACCGCGCGGGAGGGGTCTCCAAGCCTGGAGCTTCACAGCAGACAGGGGTCGTAACCCGAGCTGCCCGGGCAGGCCAGGCCGCCGTGGGTGCGCCGGCGCCCCTGGGAACCCAGTGGCCGCAGGGAGCAGGGTCTGGGGGTTTCCGAGACATTTGTGCCTGTCCCTGAGGTCTCCGCGGCCATCACGGGGCCTGCAGGCGTTCGTGGGGGGATTCCCTAGCAGAACCCCACGCAAGGCTTCCTAGAAGACAGAGAAAGGATTAATGGCAGGTCAACTGTCCTGAAGAGGAGGCATTTGAATGCACTTCCTCATTCAGCAGTGTGTGGCCAGGGGCTGTAGTGCCCTGAGCCCGCTGCAGGCTGCCCATCCCTGGCTGGCTTCTAGAACCCAGGACAACAGCCCCCCGCCCTCCGCCAACCCCCAGCAGCCCAGCAGGTGTAGAAAAGAACATCTGCTAATTGTTGCTAAGTACTTGACACCAGGGCTCGGTGGCTTCAACACTGCACTTCCCCAGCCGGCGAGGAGCTGGGTACACACTGTCTCCTGTCTCCCTACACGCGGTGCAGCGTTCTCCCACCCCGCGCTGCAGCCCGAATCCCAAGGTGTTAGCATGTTGTTCATGCAGACGGCTGGCACCTTCCCGTGACTGTCGCCCGCTCTGCTGAGTGGAGTCCCAGTGTCCCGGTGCAGACATCTGAGCCTGCTGCCCAGACACTCGGAGGACAGGAGATCCAGTTTCCACACTCATCCCTCCCTAGGAGGCCTCCCCAGTGTTCGGGAAACAGCCCTCGTCCGGGGCAAGGACAGTCAGTAAGAAGGTCTTAGCAGAAGAACAGAAATAACTAAAAACAGAAGCTTGGGTGAGGCACATTTTTATGGCTGTTTGCATCTCCATGTAATGGAATAATTGACAATAAGAGACACACCCCATTACACCAGAAATGTACTTGGAGAAATTAAAACATTGCATTAAAATACAAAATAGACATAATAATAATTTATAGCTTGGAACTGCAGTCCTAGAGAAAAAAAAAACACCCCCACTTTTTTTTTTTAGAACCGATAAAGCAAATTAAATGCGAATTAAACAGTTCCTATGATTTTCATTCTTCCAATATATCTCGGATGAAGAAGAATAGTTCGTATCCTTGTTTGTAAATTGTTCTTGTTATCAGTAAGGATTTTTATCATTCAAAATGTCTTTGTGTTATGAAGCAGATGTATTCGAATCATATTAATTAGGGAAACTGGTAAGTGTCATACAGGGCTCAATTATCCTCCCTGTTAAATCTGTGTGTTTCTCTGCAGCACACAAGGTGTTGGCTTCCTGGCGCAGCTAAGAGGAAACTGGATTCTTTCTTGGCCTGGTTTTCTGTTGGGGGGACTCTGCTGTTCCCAGCCCAGCGAGAGTCCGGCCTTTCTCTCCCCTGTGCTGGGATCCCTACGGAAGGAGATGAGCCCCACCGCCTGGCTGGAGAAAGACCTGCAGTCCACCAGTTGGGCCAGTTGCTATAGTGACACGGCCTTGTCATTTTCTCCTCCTGGGAAAGAATTGCCAGGAGACGCAAACAGGGGAAGGGGCCCTGCGTGGCTCACTTTGACATGCATGCTTGGTGGTCTGCGTCCATCACGGTGACAGCAGGCTTGCTTTCTTCCGCGGCCGAGGCTGCCCGTGGGGGCTGCATGCTTGGTAATGAGTTGACTTGTGTGGTGAGGAGCTCGATTCGGATCTGAGGAAGCCCCTCTGGGTGTGGCTTAAAGAGTTGGTATAGGTTGTTTTCCCCGTAGCTTATTGGGAATAGAGAGGTCTGTCTGCCTCGATAGGTTCTTGCCTGGATGTGGAATGGGACCTCGACCCAACTAGAGCTGGTTGAGGGTGTTCTGTGCCCGCCACCGAGGTGTGCTCTTTCCCCCTGGCATTTAGGACAGAACAGCAGCCAGGGAGAGAAGCAAATGGTGGCCTGGTGCCGCGTCCTGCGACACCTAATCCCTGACTCCATCTTTGTGTGAGGTACTGAAATCAAAGCAAAGGACACTGCGCACCAGCCGAGATGCCACGCGCCCTATTCAGTAAATCCCGTCAACATGGAGTCGTCCCTTCCAGCTAAACGTCATGCCTTCAGCTGCAGCGATGAGAAGAAATTACAAACGACTTTGGAATTGTTTTTGATCCATTAGAATCCTAACCGAGCAGGCACTCTGGTGTTGCGTTTTCTTTATAAATACAATTCAGTGCATATTGAGGAGCAATTAGAATATGCTACTTTCCTGCTGTTCAGATTTTGTTCTGGAGTTCGAGAAGAGGTAAAATGGAAAATACTGGGGGCTTAATGAAGTGATGCCACTTGGAAGTTTATTTCTCATCTTTTTTTTTTTTTTTTAATTCTTACTGTGTTTTTATCTGATGAATTTGGGGCACAAAAATATGGGTTGTTTGTTTCTGCCGGCTGCATAAATATAAATGATCTGACTTCTGGATTTCTTTTAGCCGACATCCTTGCCCTAGGATCAGTCAGGAGGAGGCAGGTTTGCCCCTTGAAGGATTTTCGCAGGCAGGGATGCCTGAGGGAGGGGACTTCCCAGCTGGTCCACTCTAGACAGTGGCCCGGAGAGCAGCACTGACTCCTGTCTGGGAATCCTGGCGGTGCCCCACTGTGGCCTCCCCACACCCACCCCTGCTCTTCCACTGATATAGAACCAGAAGGGGGGTCTGCCCTGTTCCACGGTCCACACTGGTGTCACACTCCCACCTGCACTCATTCTGCTGGACTTCCCTGAGGCCAGAGGACACTTGAACCCGAGAAGGGGGCTCTGCTCTGTGGCTCTGTTTTCTGCCCCCAGCTAAGTGTTGCCCCAGAGTTCTGAGCTCAGGATCTGCCATGCGACATGCTTGGAATGAAATACGTAGATCAACTTTTGTGGCATGAAGTATTTTCAGGTGACTTTTATGGGCGTAATTATGGGAAAATGTTATGATAATGTGGCACTAGGAAAGGGAAGAAAAGCAAAACATTAAAATCCCCATTTCTTTATATAGCATCGCATCTGCGCCAGTGTAGAAGGGCTCATTTTTGCATTAAAATGTGGCGCTCTGGAGTTAATGACCTCTGCAGATTGCCACCTGTCGCCCAGGGCACTGTCAGTGACGGTCCAGC